AATATAAGATATGAAACCTCTTACATTAATGATTATCAGGAAAAAATAAGCTATAATAGAACATATTGGATAAACAACAACTTCTTTATTTTTTATTTAGCAAATGGAAACTGATAACTTGAGTATTATCTTTTTGAAAAATTTTGATACACACATTTTTTTACTATAAACAAATAATAATAATATTAATTACTAATGTTTATTAAATAAGATTTATATACATCCCTCCTTCTTTTTAAAAATTTTCTTTTAATGTTAATGGAGTTAAGACTTTACATAAAGGATCCCAACATTGGTGGTACTGGATATCTTAGATGAATTCTTGGCATATTAGATTCTATTTTTAGGGGATAGCGATAAGCCGTTTGGTGAATTTGAACTTAATGGTTTCAGGATTTAGAGAGTATTATAGTATATTAGGTCCAGATATTTAAATTTTTGGTGTCTAGTTAATTTGTTGTAGTAAAGAGAAGTACTTAGATTAAATGGTCATGTAGTTATTCTATCCTGATAGGGTGAGATATAAATAGTTAGCTCTATATACTATTTATTGAACTGTAAATTCCTAGATAGTACAGGTAATTATTCATTCCAATTGTTCTTAGATATGATTTTTATTATAATAAAATGTTGCCATGATGTATGGATAAGTTGATATCTAAAAAAAAAAAAAAAAAAAAAAAAAAAAAAAAAAAAAAAAAAAAAAAAAAAAAAAAAAAAAAAAAAAAATAAAAAAAAAAAAAAAAAAAAAAAAAAAAAAAAAAAAAAAAAAAAAAAAAAAAAAAAAAAAAAAAAAAAAAAAAAAAATTTAGAAAAATATCATATTTAAAAATATCATTTATTTTAAACTTTATACAGTATAATTTAATTATTTTATGAGTAAATTATAATAAGTTATATAAAAAAAATAGTTCAATAAGATGAAATAATATTTATGACTTTATATAAATACCAAGGGAAAGATTTTTAAAAAATATTTATTGACATAAAATTGAGTTACTTTTATATTGAATGCAATTTATAAATAACTAGCAAGATAGAAATATAGATGATCGGAATATTGAGATTTCTTTTAATGGCAAGTTACAAGAATTCAAATACAAAAATTTTAATAATTGAATTTATCATAAGCTTTAGTTTACAAATATTAGACATTTAAATTATGGAATTATAAAATAACTCGATTTTTTATCTTTTATATAAAATCCAAAAGTTCTATAAACAATGAGTTTAATCTGATTACAAGTAAAATAATAACATCAATTATTATTATTATATTCGAAGTAAATTTCATATTTATTAAATATAGTATTTGATTTTATATACAGTATATACCGTGTACTGCATATTAATTTTTTTGCGCTAGATAAGTCATTATATAGTATGTGAAATTTGTATCTTACTATTACAAAAGAAAATCGTTTTTTTTTAATAACCTCTCCTTAAATTTGATTTTAATACAAATTTGCGAATTAAATTAGGGAATGTTAAAATTAAAATGTCTGAAGTAAAATGGCCAAATGAAGTGAGCTGTGATGATTAAGGTGAGATGGATAACAGGGATCAAGAACTTACTGCAAATGTAATGGAACAAAGAATAATTAAATGACCTGGAACCATTTTATGCCGATATCATCATAAATACACGTGAAATTTCACCAACATTGCAAGTGCTTATTCCAGGCATAACGCGGAGAGATGAAATCACCACAGATTTTCCTACAATGTCGTCACAAACTAGTTATAAACTGGTTTTCCGTTTAATTTATATTTATTTTCTGAGACCCTGAATAGAAAAAAAAAAACAACTCGCCCTGACAGACGTTACATATTTATGGTGAAGTAGTAAATGATTGGTTTTCTAATTGACAGATGAAAATTGTTTCCTTTCCGAGAAACGATGTCTATTGAATAATCATTAATATAGAGATCAATTGGCAATTTACTAGTTTTGGTAAATCTAAAAACAATGGCCGAATTATAGTTCCATCAAACAGCAATGATTGTATTATTTGTAATGACAAATAAACAAACAATCAATTATAATGGTCAATATGTACGGAAACAATAAAATTGTGTGAAGAAAGAAAATCTGTTACTAAATCTCATCATTTCCCTAATCTTGCTTTTTTTTTTTTTTTTTTTTTTTTGAACCTGAATAGATCTGATTACTAGCGAGCAATCAGAAGTAAATCCCGAAATGGGTAATAACAATGGGCTAAATGACAAAAGTAGCTTTTTAGTGTATCGTTTTCGTTGTGCAACGTGATAGCGCATTGCGTTAATATTTGTAATTTAAAAGGGGCCGGAAGCTGATGAAGTCCCAACATTGATCAGGGTCCATCATATGACATATAAACGCCAACCATTCAAGGGAAGTTTTTTAAATTCTCCGAAAAAATTTTGTAAGACGATCACATCGCGTACAGTACATTGGACAGTGTCACATTAAATTATGAACCTTTAACTAATGAGGTGTAACACACCAATACTACCCGTTCATATGTAAGTGCGTGCCTCTCCGAATGATGATGATGACACCTGGTCTCGAAGAATGAAGAGGTACTACTTAAGATTGATTAAATTGAACCTTGTCTCGAGGAAAAAAAAAAAAAAAAAAAAAAACGATTTATCAAATCATCCATCATCTTTTTTATGCCAATTGAGATCCAAAAAGAATCCTTACACTCAATTAATTTACTTAAATCGATTGAAGACGAGATTACATAATGGATTTCGGATTTTATTTATTTATTTTATTTTATTTTATTTTATTTTTGTCCCTATAGAATTTCAGGGGCGTTCAGTTCACAAAGACAATGTTGGTGAGGTATCAAATGGCAAAATATTTTCCTGAAAATAACAATACGCACAAAACGGGATAAGGAAAGTTTGAATGCAAACAAACTAAAAGGCTATCGAATACTTCGGTTACTCCGCTTATTGTTTGACACGCATTTCTTCAATTGTTCGCGGAGGATTCTAGCAATGCGCCTAAAGGTGCCAGCCAGCATGCTGCCGACATATGTGTACATGCTCTTTCATTCGCTACTTCTGCGATGGCAAATGGACACTTGCATTCAAGGCGCATTTCAGGGTAAACCATTACTTCCTTTAACGTCCACTGGCATATATCGTCCTCACAAATAGATCAATTAGCATGCCGTTTATATATATTACACACATGTTAAGCGGATACATGAATAAAGCTATGTACTGTATATATGTGTATATATATATACATATACATATACACATATACATATATATATATATATATATAATTTTTTTTTTTTTTTTTACCCTCGACGCTTTAGTCATCTTTCTTTGTCCAACTCATTGAGGTCTTTTTTGCATTCTTCGTCCGATTTCAGGTGAACGAGTGAGACAAAGAATTCACGCATCACCATTTTCCCAGACATATACAATCAGTCATTTTTTATCCGTCATCATATGCGACATCAAGCTCCACCACTGGTCGTGAGGGTTATGGTCATTTTCCGCTCGAGATTTTCCACCACGTTTTCGTTTTATACTTGATACTTATGTTTATTTTATTTTATTTTTTATTTATTTTTTTTTTTTGAAAACTTCAGTTCACATTTGTCTCTTTATTAATTTACCTCAAACGTTGGTTTAGACGCTTTATGTTACAGTGAGCAATATTATACATGATGCATTCATAATTTGTGGAATGGTGGATAGCTTTTTACGGTAACTCATATAAATTCGCATTATCTTGCTTCTAAGTGCAAAGGCGTCAAAATAAATAAAGAGACCAATTACCACCCCTCTCACCTTATTTATTTATATCCGTTTCATCATTCCGATCAAATTTTTTTAGCTGCGCATCGCCACTGATTGGTGTACTTTCATATATATATATATATATATATATATTTTTTTTTTCCAACTGAACTCGTGGAGATCCTGCATTCCCGGAGAAAGGCGGGAAAACGGCAACTTTATCGCCAAATCCGAGGTCGGGCAGCAAATACATATTTATTTCGGACGGTAAACTTTTTTTTTTTTTTTTTTTTTTCCTTGCTCTACAATCCAAAACCGATCTTACCTTAAATAAAATGTGATTATTTTTCTTTTTTGAATATGTTACGTTAGAGTACCAAATAACAATTATTATCGGTATGCCTAATTGCCTAATAAAAACCTTTTTTGTTACTGTCACCCCTTAATTTACAAACAACACAACTCTACAATGATTTGCAAAAAAAAAAAGGTCACCCAGTTTGTGTAAGGGGATAATAGATTCTACTGATTAAACCTAAGTGTTAAAAAACACGCGCACACACATCTCTTCTTAGTTTTCGAGACACGCAACGAAAATATTAATGCCTTTTATGATAAATGGGGAGCTATTAATAGTTCTCTAAAAAAAAATACATATATATATAAAAGCGTCCGGTTTTTGTCCTGTCTTTACTTCACTTTCATTCGCAACCGCCTGTGTTTGCTGCTGCATAAAAAACAAGTACGAACTGTGGTGGTCTGTGTGTTTCGTTTACAAATATTCTTTCACCTTTATTGAGACGAAATCTTCACTTTCGAACGTGTAGAAAAAAAATTTAAAAAAAAAACCAAAAAACCAAAAAAAAAAAAAAAAAAAGACTTATTCTCAGGTCAAGTTTAAGAAGTAACGATCCAGAGTAGACCAAACACACAAACTCACTCACATTTTTATACAGTATACACACAAGGATAATAATAATAATAATAATAATAATAATAATAATAAAAAAGCGACCACACACACACTTCAAGTTCTTACTTACACTACACACACCTATTCAATTCTTTCTTTTCTCTCACGCAGCTCCGATCACTCTTCCTCCATAGTCTGTATATATATCGCACCGCTCTAATCTTCGCCATTAATTCTCCCCTTCACCCATTTTTGCGTATCGTCGTCAATTGGCTAAAAATCAGTGCGAAAAAACGTTTTACGATTTTAGGCGATAATAGTCACGTTACACAAATTTGTCATGTCAGCGAATGAACACATTCGTAACACTTTAACGAACATAATGCCTTCGCAATCAAACGAAATGCTATCCTATGAAGTTTTTAGCGATAAATCGCACATACCGAACTGCTTGGAAGGAGATAATATATTTCAAGAAGAACCGGGCAAATATGATCTTGACACTGTATCTGTCTTTGTTGCAAAATTATACCAGTGGGTGACAATTTCCTTCCGATGAATTTTGCATTTGACTGTGCATTCTTCAATTCTGATGTTTCAATCTTATCCGCGATAGATTGCTTGATGGTGACGAGTATAAGGAATACCTCACGTGGAATGAAACGGGTGATGTGTTTGTGATTTGCAATATGGACGAATTCGCGCAGAATGTATTACCGAAATACTTCAAACATTGCAAATTTACTTCCTTCGTCCGACAACTCAATGTAAATATTTGACCGTCCCGTGGTGATATCAAGTGATCGAATGAGATCAATTACTTCATCATCATTTTTTTCTTTCGCCATCTAGATCTACGGGTTTTATCGAGTGTCGGATGCACGCAAATCAAAACATGTCCGAAGCAAACATGCCTGTGTATTTTCTCATTCACAATTCAGACGTGGCCGGCAAGACTTATTGCCAAACATACGTCGAAAAGTAACTAAAACGGTGAGAAGGAAACCACGACCCCCAGAACCTTCATTATCACAGAATCAGGGAGAAACCTCTCCATCCTCTGTCTATGTCAATAGCAAGAATGGAAATATAACAAAAGATTCACCCCCGCACAACTTACTAACCTCCTTCCCTGAATCCAAAGATTTCGTGACGCATGCGGACAAGTCTGATGGTGACAATGCAATGCGTAAACGAATCGCCGAATTAACTGTTACCACAGAGAATCTGAGAAAAGATTTAAAGAGCATTAGCGACATCGTTAATGAACGTTTGCTTCCCGAGGTTCGAAGTTTGACCGATGACTTGCAAAAACACTATACTCACCTGATGGAACTGACCCAATTGGTGGCCTATCATTCTTCGCCGGAAGGTATTTCGCTTTATTGATCTATGTACCCTGGAATTTCTTAGGTGTTGATGGAATTCCTAATAATAATGATCGTCATCTTGTAATTAATTATATAGACATTCAATTGCTTCAGGAGGTCAGTCGTGGGCACTCGAGGCATTTTCCGTCGCACGACTTTCCATCGGCAAAGCGTGCGCGCCTTGATGATAAGCAAACCGACTCGGTAAAAACCGAACGGCCAAATTTATCTTCACCACCGGTTGCCAATGTACCCACCGTTCCGTCCTCCTCAGTTGCCAATGTACCAACTGTTCCATCATCATCTGTGTCTACCCCTTATTGTGATGTCTTTGCACCTCACTCGGGCAATAACTTGGTGAACAGACCTTCCCCCTCAGCCGCCGATCCCTCGACCCAAGGAGCACCTTCAGCGTCCCAACCTCTAACGATACCAACCGATCCTCACCCTGCATTTAATATGTCGGCATCTTCAATAATAGGGGAATTTCAACATCCCTCGCATAATGCACACTCCACTAATATTACGAGTTTTAATGAGTCGTGGGGCACATGTCCCTTGATACAGGATGCCGTTAACACAATTTCCGGTTCTTTTCTGTTCCCGACAGCGACTTCAGAGCATTCTCCGTTACTGTATTCTCCATCCTCGAATCAACAAAATTCCCCGGTACGCTCCTCACAACAACACTCCCCGACTTCACCTGCGGCTCCCCATCCACTGAGTCCAGCTGAATACGGTGATAATACCGCCACCGCCTCAAGTTCAAATGATGATCACCCAAACAACGGTTCCAATAGTCCTCACAATGGTGATGTCATTGTTGCGGTGTCTCCTACGTCAACCACTTCTTCTCCGATGTCCCAGTCCGCGACGACAATGTCGTCGAACTATTATCATCCTCCAATCATGGAGATGTACAATTCGTTTCAGAATTATCAGTGACGTGGTGTGTGATGGAGTGCTCGCCCAAAGGTCCGATATGTTCTTTAAACTCGATTGGGTGGATTCGTATCGTCATTTTTTTTTTTTTCACGGGCAATGATTGGTCTGCCTGGTGCTCATCAGGGGAGGCAGGTCTTTTCCCTTTTTTGGAAGTATCGATGAGTTCCCCGCTCGTTCATAATTTCTTAATATTTAATGCATTTCTTGCATCCTGCAAAACATTCATTTCTTCCCATTTATCATCATTTCTGGCGTGTGTAATATTTTATGTTAATGATCGTAGAGAATTTATGATTTCATTCTCTGCACTTTTTTTTCCTAACGATTTATTCTTTTCTTTTTTTTTTTAAAAAAAAAAAAAAAAAAAAAGGAAAGCAACAACAACTGCGTGTGTCGACTTTTTTTTTTTTTCTTTTGTTATGGCTTTTCTTTTGTACATATGTACACTGTAAAAACTATGTTTCTTCATTATGTTAACAACATAATCTCAATTTTCTTGTACCATTTTTTTTTTCTTTTCTCGTTGTTATCCATATATACAATTGACGAAATTCTTACCTCTATATGTAGTATCACTTAAAATTTGTCATCAGAATATATATATATATATATATACACTATGTGTATATACTGTATATGTATATATATATGTGTGTATTTCTGGAGACGAATTATCAATTATATATTATTATAAATCTTACCACAATATATGATATAAATACACTATATAAATAAATATCTGATGCGTATGTTTTTATTTATTTTTTTTTTTTGCATTGTTGCATTTCGCACATCGACTTATTGATATCAAGAAAAGCGCCTTCTCTTTTTTTTTTAAAAAAAAAAAAAAGATCACGACTTTCTAATGTCGTTTTAAAAATATAATGTAATACTCTACACAATAATTCCTTTTTTAAAAACATTACTAAATATTGCGCGATAATTATTAAACTAATCATGAATTGAATATACCTTTATTTAATATAACAAAATTCCTAAATTATTCAATTAATATCAATCATCACTTTAAACAAATCAAATATTTTTCATAATTTCTTCATTCAAAAACACTTGACGCTTGTAATAATTTTTTTAGAAAAAAAAAAAAAAAAAAAAAATTTTTTTAAACACGCCATTCAACTTTTCTATAAATCGCATAAACAAATTCTTAGAATATAGTGTTTTCAATATTGATGTTAAAATATACCGTGTTTATCAAAGTTTGAAGAAACCATCAATTTATTTATTTATTTATTCATTCATTATTTATTTTGCAAATTTGCTATTACATTTTATTTTTATTTAATGATAACAAAAAAAAAACAAATTTCATGTTACAATAATTTATTCTTATAATAATTGATTCATTTAAATATACAGTATTGTTAATTAAAAGATCAACCTATTTATATTTAATGAATATGAAAAAGTTTATTCATAATAATTTGTTACATAAATTATTTTAATAAAAAATTAATTTAAAGTTTTCATAAAAATTTTCTTTATAGTAATTATTAATCTTTTTTTTTTTTTTATAAGAAAATATTTTTTTTACAACTTAAAAAATAATTTCAAATATAATCTTTATTTCTTCTTTCTTATTTGGATTTTTTTTTTATACAAAAACTTGACTTTTAATAATAAAAAAAATCAAAAAACACATTTTTTATATATAGTAAAAAAGTGTTAAATTAAAGATTTAAGTTTTTATTTAAAGAGATTTGTAAGCAGTAAGAGAAAATAATAATAACTCTTGAAAATAAACTTCAAGTTATTTTAAGGAAAATAGAAAAACTTTATTAATCAAGAAGTACAAAACATCTTACAAACATTTTTTTTGTATATAGTTAGTGAATCAGTAAAAAAAGTTTTAAATTTTACTAAATACTATTATAAAAACTTATTTTCTAAAATAAATATATAATAAAGATTTTATATAATAAACAAATATATAAATAAAGTCTAATCCTCGAAAACTTTTCTATTTATTGTTTTTACTTTTTTATAATTACTTGTTTTTTAGATTTTTTAAGAAATTTTACTTATTTTAATTTGATTTTGAATTTTAAAATAATATAAATTAATATAGTTTTTATTAAAAATAATTAATTAATAAAAAATATATTAGTAATAAAATTTAAATAAGCTTTTATTTTTTTATTTTTTTTAAAAAGGATTAATAGAAACCCAGCATATTAAGTTTATAATTGCTTTTTTTTAAGAATAAGAAGATATATTGAAGGAATTATATTTACAATATATAAATTTTAATTATATCTTAATTTATATTTTAATAACTTATGTAGATTCTTTTCACTAATCCTCTAACTATACACAAAAAAGATATTTGTAAGAAGTTTTTAATACTTCTTTACTAATAAAGTCTTAATACTCTCTTTAATTCAACCTAAAAGAAATCTTTGAGAGTCACTTATACCCTCTCTTTCTTGTTTACAATCAACTTCAGATAAACCAAACTCTTGTGGCCTACAAAATTTTGCTTACACCTTTACTACCAATGGTAAAAAACTTTTTAAAGAGAAAAGAACTACTAGTGAAATATCTGTTACTACTTTCCTAAAGTGAAGAAATAAGACAAGATAAATGAAAATAATATAATTATGTTATTTCCACTTAGTATAGGTTATTTCCATTCAGGTATATATTGTAATTTAAATTTTATGACACAAACTAAAGTGTTGTAACTTGAATTTTATAACATAAATTAAAGTGCCGTGTTCCAAATTTTATAATATAGTGTTAATAGAAAACTTATATACTCTTTAAAAAATCAAATTCAATATTGATAATATTTTAATCACTTATATAATTTTTCATATATCAGCTTAATTTTTCTGATTGATTTTCAATAAATAGAAATATCTGATTTAGGTTATGGTATCCTATGTGTAATTCTTTTCTATTATCTTTAGAAATCTAAATTCAATAATATTATTAATATGCCAGTTTTGATAATTATAGAAAATTTTCATCACTGAATCACATGAATAAAAAAATATGCTAATGATATATTCAGTCATGTGTCATTATTTGCATATCCAATATGAGTGCTATGCTCGAACTTGGTATATTGTGTCTTAACTTTCTAGTTAATTTTTCTATAAAAATCAAAGTTAAGACATGTAATATTAAAATAGTATTTATATTCTGGCTTTGTATAATGCATTCTAATATTAATTATGAATGAGGCACATAGTACTGAATTGTTAATAATTATTAGCTTCACATAATTTATTCGAGAATTGCCCAATTATTAGGTATGTTATACTATATTGTTATCATATCTGATAATATATCAAAGCATCTGATGATAAGGCATATAATACTGAATTGTTGGTAATTGTTAGTTTCATATAATTCCTTCGAATATTATCTGATGGTAAAGTACATAGTATTAAACTGCTATTACTTATTTGGTATCTATCCAAAGTATAATTTTTTATAATATATATCTATAATAATTTTATCTTGGGTGAATACTGATTTTTCAACTAGTATATCAAATATTACACCTATTTTATATCCATCCAAAGTATAATTTTTTATAACATATATTTATAATAATTTTATCTTGGGTAGATATTAATTTTTTTGAATTATGTAGTTAAAATAGTATACTCTGTATCTAAGTACTCTTTCTATAATAGTTTTATCTTGATCAAACACCAACTTTCATAAAATTTATAGTTATAATAGTATATTTTTTATATCTATTCAACCTTTTCTATAATAATTTACCTTGACTAGACACTGATTTTCTATCAAAATTATACCTATTTAGTATCTATCCAAAGTATAATTTTATAACATCAGTAATTACTAAAACAGTTATATAATAGCTATACTTTGATTATATACTAATTTTTTTCAAATATATATATATTATTTATTAGAAAGTATACTTTGAGCAAAATTATATAACACAAAAATAGTTATCGATTAAATTATCTTATCTATATACTTCTAGCACTTACGTAAAATTTCAATAGGACAGATATATAAATTAGATAAGAGATCTACCCACCATAATCAAAAATCCCTTTGATAAGTATTTAATTACCCATTTAAAATTATATGATTCAAAAATCCCTTTATTATTATATGATCTAAGTAGCAGAATATTATTTTTCGTTTGAATTTTTCTATATACTCATTGTAAAAAGTGACAAAAACCCTCTTATCTAAAATGTATAGTTGAATATAATAATCTTTCTACCTGAAAATTACTAGTATTTAATTAGATAATATTATTTTGATACCTTATGCTTGCTTTGTTGAAAGATCTATAGCAATTACACATATTCAATAATTGCCAAAGATTTATTTTTCAATTCTTTTTTATGTGAAGTAGTAGGCATGCTAATCTTAGCTTCAAAATTGCATTTATATTCTAAAAAAGCAATCTCATTCATGCTCTTGTACTTTTTTTTCTTTTTTTCTTCCAAGTTCAAAAAAAAAAGTGATAAATAATCTTGATTATTCAATCCATATATCTCATAGCCAATCACATTTTTTTATTGTGGAGCAATGGCTCTTCAAGCCTATCTATATTCTACATGCATCTCAATACTATGAACCACATAACAGCAATAATTAACAGAGTAAATAATATATACACTGGTAAAGGTGATATTAAAGTACTTGCTACAATGGGAATTGATCCTATTTTTTCTATCAGGATTTAAGCATTTGATTCAACTAATATGATCATATTATTTTTTGACTATACAAGGTAAGGAGTCATATTCGATACTTCTATTGCAGAACAATAATTCTTTGAATCTTGAGATTAGAATATAATATTTTTACTAATTTTATTAATATTAGTATCTCCATTTATCTTTTTGGGTTAATCTCAGTATTGACTCTTGATGGTTTGATATTCTCATTATTAATGGAGCAAGTATCAAAAGTACTAGTTTGTATTGAAATATTATTATCAATTTTTTTAACTTAATCCATACTTTTTTCAGATATAAAATATTGTCTAAGACTTTTGCTAGGTTTACTAACTGTAGATATATCATTAGACTTGATTATATTTTTTTGTCATCTTTACCAATGATGGGTTTCAATATAGCCTCCAATTTCAGATACTTAAGTTTATTAACTTTTAAAACTAGCTCATGTTCTATTTCAACTATTTTAGACTTGAGGAATAATATTTCAGATTTTTTTTTTTTTTGATGAGTCTTTTTGAATAGAAATCACATCTTTCTGAACTGAAGATAACTTATTTTCTAATATCTTAACCATAGACTCAAGTGATCTAATTTTCTTGGATTTTATATTATTTTTAGCTTTGGACTTTATAAGAAAAATATCTTTATTAGCGTTATGAGAAATAAGATTAATATTTTCATTTTGTAGTTACTTATACTCATTAATAATCTGCAACGCATAGGAGTGTAACTTTTGGATCTCGATATTATTTTGTAATGAATCTTAATTCCACCTCTTTTTTTTCTAATCAAACACTTTTATTTGTTTATATATTTATCTTACAATTTCTAATTAAGCTTATTAATTTCAACTTTGGATTTGATAGTATTGTATAGTTTTTTTTCTAGTTCTTCTTCATGTATACTACCAAATCAATAACCTTTAATATTTTGTAATGTATATACATTAGCCATATTAGTATTTTGTATTTACTTTGTTAAATAATAGATAATATACAGATATTAATAAAACCAATTTCATTAATAATTTCTATTATTATATAATGATATTTAATGTTAAATGATTTAAACTATTAAAAAATATATTGAATATTATAGAATTAAGTTTTATATTAATTTATTTATTTCAGTTTCTAGTACTATATATTAGTTTTATTAACTGAATACTTGTTTACATTAATATTTTATATTCATCTATAATAATAGATGTTATTTTTTATTGTACTATAATAATAGATATTATTTTTTATTATTCTAAAATATTAAATATCATTTTAAATATTGGATAAAAAATCAAATTATGAATACACTATTTCTAAAATTATAATTATTACTGAAAATCTACATATTTAACTTCTGAGTAGATAGAAACAATTTAATTACTCAAAGATAAGGTATCTAAGTATAGAATTATAAGAGATTTTTATATTAATTAATATTAAGTAAATAATATATGGAAAGATTGAGAGTGCCAACAATAAATAATACAAAGTATTATTTCCATTGAAATATTACCTATATCTATTGCAAAGCAATGGCTTAAAGAGCCTACACTAGTCTTATCAATTCTATCTGAAAATTTTAATTAAATTAAAAGAAAGACTTTATATCCAGAATCTACTACTTTTCTTAATACAAAAATAAAAAAGAGAATTTCAAATCCCAGTCTAAATCTATTTGTATATCTGATTCAATACCTATTAATAACTCTAATATAGTAGTATCTATACCTAATGAGATAGAAAAAATAAATAGTAAAAATCTGGATATATTATATGAAAAAGAAGTCAGAAGAGATAAAAAAAAGAAAGCAAATATGATACATCTATTAGCTACTATATAGATCTATCTTTTCTTTATTTATACTATTATTTCTGAAGGTGATATATTCAAGTAGCTTTCCATAACACATTTGCAACTTTTCACAAAGATTGTTTATTTCGACCTTAGACTTGAAAGTAATATATAGCATCTTTTCTAACTCCTTATAGCTTATACATTTTTTTTTAAAGTTAAACTATCAGAATCTGGGTTAAAGCTTATAGGAGCACACCATTTTCAAATGGTATATATCATCCTCACTACTATCTATTTTCTGAGAAATTTAATCAGATATCAAAGGCTTATTATTCTGAGATGCAGTAGTACAATTTATTTCAAGTTTATTCTTGATTTTGTGTATATTTATTGAAATAAAATACTCTTTACTATTACATATGAGTTTTAATTCTTATTTTGATATAAGTAAATCATAATAATATTTATCTAGAAGAATATTTGACAAAATTAGCATGGGTTTGGGATATTTGATTATTGCAAAATTGAAATATATAGTACAACCTTGGAAAAAATTTATTGGTATATTTCAAGTAGTTCCAAGAAACTCTGTAGTTTAATAGTAATGCCTCTAAGGTTATGTTTTTTTTTTGTATTAATTATTAATCTTAATCATTTGACTATATCTTCTGATATAATTGAGAAATTTGTACCTAGACCTATTGTGGTTACTAGAATTACTAATCCCTTAATTTTGCATTTTGTAGTTATGGCATCTATAGTTGGATCTTTTTTTTTTAATGAAATCTATCTCTATAAGATCATCTAGCATTTCATCCTCCCTATCAGAATCCAATATTTTTGAAGCTGAATTTTAATAATTCATAAAATCAGGTCTTATAATAGATAAATTCATATTATTAATATTGTTTTTAATTGTTTCTATAATCTCTAGATTATTAAACATATCTAGAATAATTTTTAAGATCTGTAAGTTGATAATCATATCTGAGTTCTTTTGTAATTTTTGTGAAGTATGTTGAATCAGAAATTTGAAATTCTGACTCTTCTTTAAACTAGACTTCTTTTTAGAGAATAAATTATTCTTTTACTTTACTTTTTTTT